TCGCTTTGGATAAAAGCGTCCGTGTAATGCTTTTTAGCATGAAAAATGGATAATCACATAATGTGGAAGTGTGTGTGGAAAACATACCTGTCGGCAAGATGAAAAATAGGCTACATGAGAAAATAAAGAAATAATATTGTTTAAATGGCAAAAACAAGCAGCAATTAGCAAAACAGAACTTAGATGGTCACATTTTAATGACAAGTTTAAAACATTTGCTGGAAGATGCTGGTGAGTCTGTTAAAGAAGCAGTTTACAACAACCTATAAAGTTGTACATAAACATCTCAGTTTTCTAAAAGACAGCACAGTGTGTGAGTCAGTGTGGTTGAGGCTTTAACAGTAGAACAGTTCTGCTAAAGACTCTCTGCTGTCATGTAATTGAATATTTATACCACAAGATGGCAGCACTCTGATGTAGCTCACTGAGGGTGAATCTGTTCACAAACAGGCTGCCTGTACCATATTGCTCTTATTCAGAAAGTTCAGTAGTTGACAAAGCTTCCATGCAATTCTTTAAATGACACTTTCAGTTAATCCTTAGTGATACAATGAATTCATAAGAAATCCTCTCACTCAGTCAGATCATCAGTAATAACTGACAGATTTAACATTATGTTTTGCTCATTATGTACAACTATATTGAGATGATGATGATGATGATATTTAAGGAAAGTGATCAGAAAGAACTACACTAACATGGGGAAATGAGCTCAGATTCTTAATGGCAGAGGAAATGCATCGTGTTGGTTGATGAGAGTTAAGAGGTTGTTATTGATATTTAAAAAATGACTCTTCAAGCCTGTGATTGGTTTATAGTTTGAGAAAACATGATTCCAATAAAATTCAAATAATTGAGAATTGTTAGTTAAGTGAGTCTTGAATTTCTGTAGCAAATTATCCAGGTGCTGCAAATAGGAACTGATGGCAGCTTTAATTGAAGTCCGATAGTCTGATGCACATTTGCCGGTCTGGACATCCAGTCGAGCCTCATGGATCAACATCTGGAGGTGGAAGGAGGCTCCATTGACCCAGATTTTGAGCCCACGGTCGCTCATCTGTCCATCAAGCAGCAGGGAGTTTCTGAGGATGGTGAGATGGTTGCTCAGCTGGGCTTCTAGTCTCCGTATTTCCTCCACTAGTCGTTGGTCATTGTTCATGAATCTGCGATGACGCTTCACATACTCTGACATTGTGTCCCGGACAGCTGAGGCTTTCTCTTCACCAAATACACGTTGGAGCATGCTGTATGGAGTATTATCATCTGCTTGAGTGGAGCTCGTGATGCAGATCTCCATAATCATGGAAATCACCAGCGCTCCAAGTCCAACAGCATTCGGGACTGTTTTCAGTGCAGCCAAACTAGATCCCAACCTCTCGATGTAGCCTGGCACTGCGACCAGCGCATCAGAGTAGGCCGTCAGCTGAGCGTTAGAGTTGGCGCCAGAATATTTTAGTAGAGACTCATCTATGCCTATATCTGGGAAGTAGAACATGGATGGGTACTGTATATTATTATCATACATTGCAACAGCAACCCTGGGATAATCCTCTTGTGAAAGTTCAGCGCCCATGTTTTCCTCTCAATCTGTGAGCCTCTAAGTGTAAATGTACCACAACCAACAAACTGAACAGGCAATTCAGAATGCACAAAGATGAAGACCAGTCAGCTCGCTCATATACCTCCAGGATGACACACCTCTAACCAACCAGACCTATGGAAAGTGACTTTTTGTCTAAAGTCCCAGTGTGTCCAAGGTCCAGCAATGCCAACTGGGCCCCCACGTATCGATAAGGTTACAATTCAAAGGCAAAACTGTTTTTTAAATACTGAAATAAAGAAAACCTTTCCACAATCTACTTTTAGAAACAGGTGGAAACAAACAGGATAATGAAAACTGAAATTATAAAAATGAAGGTGATTGTTTTACCATGGTTTTATGTTATTTTTAATAGAACAATTTACACAAAAGTAATTGGTTACAAAATGAAAAAAAGGTTGTTATATTATGTAGACAAAATTTGTACATTATGAATTGCTGTTCTCATGTTGAATTTGTTAGGTTGAAAGAAAGCGAGAAAGAGACTGACATGCCCAACACACTGAACACCAGGCAATTCAGAATGCATGAACATAAAGTCCAGTCAACTCCCTCATATACACCCAGGATCCACTAACCAACCAGACATCTCCAAAGTAAGGCATATTTGTTGACTTTTCTCTAAAGTCCCAGCATGTCCAAGGTCCAGGAATGCCAACAAAGAAAGTTAGATCCATGGTATAACCCACAAACTGGCAAATTAAAGCAAACGTCGCAAAAACTTGAAAGGAAATGGCGTTCCACCAATCTGGAAGAATCTCGCTTTATCTGGCAAGATAGTTTTAAAACATAAAAGTAAGGTTCTCTGTAATACCAGACCCTCATCATTAATAGAGGAAAATGAGAACAACCCCAGATTTATTTTGGTCAATGTAGCCAGACTGACAGAGTCCCAGCTCTATTGAGCCATGTGTTCTTTTAGCCCTCAGTAGTAACGACTCCATGAGCTTCTTTAATATACACTATCAATTTATCTTCAAACTCAGGAACATTAAAAAACACTGTTAAACCCAAGATATACAGTATTTGGACTGCTTTGCTTCATCAGTCTTATATATCAACACTACCATTGCTATGATTTTACATCTCCATGTGGAACTTGTGTTGGGCTACTGTGTGTTCTCCTCCTGTTGTGTCTCTTAACTGAAAAGTAAAGCCTGTCTGTTGATCTTTCCCTGATGGTCCAGTGCATCCAAGGTCCAGAAGTTCAGAGCTGAAAGCAAATATTAAAGACAGAAAAGGTACATGATGTGAAACCATATCTGTAAACATATTTTGCACATTCTGTAGCTCTCATTGGCCAATTGTTTAGCACATCATGGTAGCTTCGGTGTCATCACACTACATGGTGGGACACTTCTTAAAGAAGTGGAAATAAGGAGAAGTAAGAAGCCAAGACAAGCAATAGCTAAATAAAAGATTTCTTATAAATGTGAGTGTTTTAACCACATGAGCATTTTGGCAACATTGTTCTGTCAGTCGGTAAATGGCAGCATTTATAAAAGGTTTTTATCCAAAGCACTTTGGAAGAAGCAAGTTTTTCTAAATTCACCCATTCACATTCACACACCAATGGCAGCGAGCTACCAGGCAAGGTGCTGGCCAAACATCGGGTAACCGCCAACAGTGTGATCATTCGGTCCACCATTTTTAGTCTATGACTAACTATGAAACAGATGTTCATGAAATTGGTGCACACATTCATGGTGACCAGTGAATGAATCCTAATTAATGATGATCCATTTACTTCTCCTTTAGCGCCACCATGAGATTCACATTTGTGGTTTTGAATGAAATATCTATTGAAATTAAACGGTTGGATGGATTGCCGTTAAATGTGTCCAATACTTTGGTTTATGACCAAGGTCTGCAAAATATGTGTACAGATAAGGTTTTTACATGGTGTACCTTCTCTGTCTTTACGTGAGACAAATATTTGCTTTAAACTCTGAACTTCTAGACCTTGGGTGCACTGGAACAAATAGGGGACAGATCAACAGGCACGCTTAGCTTTAGAGTTAAGACAGAAACCTGGAGGAATGAGAACACACAATAACTCAAGGTCCACATGGAGATGTAAAACATTAGTAATGACAATAAAATAATTTCAATAAAAATTATGAGAATAAGGATGGGACTAATAATAATAATTGTAGCAAAGGGTGTCGAGCAGGAACATAGGGGGCAGCAGGCGGCTCACAACCACAGATCCAACTCCACAGCTCTGGAGCCAGAGACACCTGCAGAAAGTGACAGGAGAGAAATAAAAAAGTAAAATTACTTTACTTATTATTGGGTAATAAACTAGTTATGTTTCTCATTATGTTAATATATTAATTACTTTCAATACCACCAGCCCTCCCTCCCCAAACAAAGCCTCTCCGGACTTTTTAACTAATATGATATTCATAACAGCAGCAATGAGTATGTTTCTTATTGCCACCAGCTGAAATTAAAAAAAAAAAGCAATAATTTATTACAGTTAGTAGTAGTAGTAGTAGTAGCATTCCTTATGATTCAGCAAAAATATGTAGTCATGACATGGGCGGCACGGTGGTGCAGTGGTTAGCACTGTCGCCTCACAGCAAGAAGGTCATTCTGTGGCCTCAGGCCTTTCTGTGTGGAGTTTGTTCTCTCTGGGTGCTCCGGCTTCCTCCCCCTTCCAAGTCTAGGTTAATTGGCGATACCTAAAGGTGTCAGTGTGATTGGTTGTTCCTCTATATGTGGCCCTGCGATGGACTGGCGACCTGCGATGCCAGCCCCCCCCGCAACTGGCAAGAAGAAGATTTTAGTTTACAAGTGAAAGGAGGAGAGGACTTCGGTGTTTACTGTTGTGCATTAAGCACAAAATATCAAGACATTCAGTCACTTGATATGAAATAGTGACACTGCTGCTTTATTGATTGATTTATATATTCTTATTATATATGTTATTTATAACCAGGTTAACTATAGATGCTGCTCTGTTAGATAACATTCTATGTTTGGAGAGGTGTTCAACCAGTTTTTTAAGAATGTGTACAACCAGCAGTTAGACAGTTATATGTCTTAGTGAGTATTGTGGATATTTTAGTCTTTTTCACTTTAGGCTTCATCAGAATCAGCTTTATTGCCAGGTATGTGTACACATACAAGGAATTTGACTCAGGATTGTACATTGCTCTCTATGTGCTTACTCATCCAAAAATACAGTGATATAAATAAAAAATAAAATCAGACACAGACTTCAGTGTATTATTAGAGGCCGGTTGTGTTTGTACCTGTGTGCATTAGCAGGGTGGCCGTACTGAAGTATACAGTGGGCAGTTCAGGTGGGCTGGTCCGGATCAAAGTCTAGGGCTATTTTTTAATCCATGTCCGTCCCGAGAATGGGTTGATATAAAACACTCGATGCACACTCTGCAATACTAGTATGTGGTTTGCATTTGAATTAGTACCTTTGGCACCTTGGATACACATACGTCTAAATTTCCAGAGGCCTGGTTGGTTAGTGGCTTGCAATCACAGATCTAGAAACACCTGCGGAAGAGAGAGACGAGACAGTACAAAACTACGGGAGGGGGAAGAAGTCAAGTTAGTAAAACGCATTACTGGAATACGAAAGCTTTCAAAACGACAAGGAGAGGAGCTCAGTGCACCATGGGAAGTCTAGGCCAATAGCAGCATAACTATTGGATGGTTCAGGACTCACCTCAGCAGCCCTAACTATAAGTTTTATCAAAGAGGAAAGTCTTAAGCCTACTCTTCAAGGTGGAGATGGTGTCTGCCTCCTGAACCCAAACTGGAACTTGATCGCTACTGAAGGTTTGTCAAATCCTGTTTTTGTATTCTGCTTTGGTCTGTTTTTAAAGGTGGAAACTTTTCTGTATTTCAGTATTTAAACAGCCCGATCTCATTCTCAGGATGCTTTGTCACGTCCTTCAGCATCTGGTACCAATGCACATGGCACTCTTCAACGCACTGGTGAAAGCCCTTTACCACCATTGTTCAACATAAAAAGTACTTCTATATATAATTAGAGAAGTCCAACTAAGGAGGTGATTGGGGTGCACAAAAAACAGACTTTCATCCAGGAGATGGGCATTTCTTTCCTGTTTAAAACAAAAAGTCTGCATTGATTGTTCAGTAACTTACATAAGTAGTGTAACTAGCTTTTTATCCAAAGCGACAATTGCCATTGCCTCTTTTTGGAGCAACTAGGGGTTAAGTGTCTTGCTCAGGGACACATTGGTGTCTCACAGTGGATTTGAACCCAAGTCTCTCACAACAAAGGCATGTGTCTTATCCACTGCCCCATCACCACCCCCTTACCCAAAATATAATCTTTTCATAAACCTAACCAAGTGGTGATGTTTCACAATGTTACAACTACTTTTATTTTGAAAGGCTAACTAAACGTTGCATATTTATTCTTTTAACTTAATCGTAGAGTTCTACGACGTACAAAGGGTAACCAGGGTGTACCCAACGATGCGAAGGGGCCTTATGTGACGCCCTGGAGTGAGAGAGTTGATATTAACACTAGAATGTGGTTTGAATTTGAATTGTAACCTTATACATATAAATACGTGGGTTACAGTTGGGACCTTGGAAACAAAAAAATACGCCTAACTTTCCAGAGACCTGGTTGGTTAGTGGTGTTTCAGGGAGTTGACTGGACTTCATTGTCATGCATTCTGAATTGCACAGAATCTCTCTCCTCTCTCCTTCTGTCGCCATTTACCTTCAAGACTGACAAAACAGCATTGCCATCCCTATAGAGCCACACTGCTAACATGGCCAAAAATGGTCAACTTAATAAGAGAAATCACTGGTTTTGTCACTGCTTATCTCGGCTTGTCTGGCAATATTTGCTTTAGATCTGAACTTCTGGACACTGGACGCACTGGGACATCAGCAAAAAATCAATAGACACTCTTAGTTAATAGAGAGAGTAGGAGGAAAGAGAACACACAGTTCCACATTGGGATGTAATAATACAACCACAATAAAGATTCATTATAGTGATGATAATAATATTAATGGGGATAATAATAATAATTGTAACAGTGGGTGTGGAGCAGGAACTTGGTGGCAGCAGGCGGCTCGCAACCACAGATCCAGACTCTATAGCTCCGGAGGCAGAAACACCTGCAGAGAGCGACAGAAAGAGAAATGAAAAAACAAACTACAGGAGAGGGAAGAAGTTGAGAGGAATATTTTTATACTGCGTTTATATAACGGCTATAGTTACTGGTTTCTTTACAAATTGAGATTGTACATACAACACATATGATCCATTCATAAAAGATAATAGCACTGTTATACATTTTTTTGGTTAAAGAGATAAATCCCCTTTTTCGTTCCTGCCCTCACCTATGGTCATGAAGGCTGGGTCATGACCGAAAGAACGAGATCGCGGGTACAAGCGGCCGAAATAGGTTTCCTCAGGCGGGTGACTGGTGTCTCCCTTAGAGATAGGGTGAGAAGCTCAGCCACCCACGAGGAGCTCAGAGTAGAGCCGCTGCTCCTTTGCGTTGAAAGGAGCCAGTTGTGGTGGTTTGGGCATCTGGTAAGGATTCTTCCTGGATGCTTCCCTAGGGAGGTCTTCCAGGCATGTCCAGCTGGGAGGAGGCCTCGGAAGACCCAGGACTAGGTGGAGAGATTATATTTCCACACTGGCCTGGGAACGCTTCGGGATCCCCCAGTCAGAGCTGGTTAATGTGGCTCGGGAAAGAGAAGTTTGGGGTTCCCTGCTGGAGCTGCGACCGATCTGGATGAGTGGATGAAGATGGATGGATGGATGGATGGAGTTCAATATAATACTACATTTACTAATTTGACGCTTTTATCCAAAGCGACTTGTGACAATCCCTGAGTCCAAGTCAAGTCTCAAGTCTCTCGTGGTCATAATGAATGTTGTATCACCTGCTGTGTTCAGTCCAGGCTGCTTATAAAACTGTAAGTGAAAAATTGGTTACAAACACAGTGTCATGTTAACTAAATAAAACTGTAATGTTACATGATCAACAATAAACCTGTAACCTGTTTGCAGCCACCGTTTATAATTAATGTGATGGCAGCCAGCGGGGCGTAAATGATTTTATTATTTGACCACCACAAGTTTGGCAAGTAAACAAAAGCTCATTCATCTTTTCATTCGACAGTCAGTTAACCTCCTGTAGGTTGTAGCTTAAGCAAGAAGCAAACTAACATTAGATGGCCAATGCTGTGCTAAACATGTTTACTAACCTCAGGTTACCAACCTATTTTGTGTTCAGTGCTTCTTTATTTGTGTCTTGTTGTATTAAGTTTTAAATCCAAAGTTTATGATGAATGGTGGAGCAGCTGAGGTGTGTGTGTCCTCTCGTTTGTGGGTTGTGCGCAGCAGAAACTACATGTTACATAGGTAGGTCATAGGTAACGCAGGGAGGAGGATAACGGCTAGCTCAGACATTTCCTAAAAATAAACACTGTTTACGAGTCCCGCACCTGAAGTCGGAAGTCTTTTGAGTACAAGTCTCAATTTGAGTCTGAAGTCACTGTATGTGCGTCGAGTCCGAGTCTCACACTCGAGTCCTTACCTCTGGTTCAATTCACACTGCAACAAATCCAATGTGTCCATGAGCAAGACACTTAACTCCCGGTTGCTTCAGAGGCATGACATAAATAGTAAAATCGTAAGTGGATTTGGATAAACACAAGCAAAATGAGTAAGTGTTGATCCACGGGTAACCTTGAATGTCTGCAAAAATTTCATAGCAATCTTTTTCATACTTGAAGTTGAGATATTTCAGTCTGGAGTGTAAGTGGTGGACCGAATTATCACAGGGTTGGAGGTTCAATCACCACTTTTGCCTGTCCACCTATTGAAATGTCACCCTGAACCCCAACTTTCTCTCGATGGTTGGCCAGCACTCTGCGCGGGAGCTCGTTGTCATGAATGATTAATATCCTGTTGAGTGCTTTTGGATAGATGCAGTCATTTACCTTCTAGCCTGACTGAACAACATTGGCATCTGTAGAGCCACACTGCTAACGTACCATACCAACTTTATTTGTTAAGCACTTTACAACAACCAAAGCTGACCAAGCGGGTTAATAACCATCCAATAAAAAACATTCAAAGTAACAAATAGAATCAAGTAAATGAAGTCGACATCTTACTAGGTGTCAAAAGCCAAAGAGAAAAGATGGGTTTCAAGAAGGGTTTTAAAAACAGATAAAGAAGAGGCCTGCTTTACATACAAAGGCAGTTCATTCCATAGTTTAGGGGCAGACACAGCAAAGACATGGTCCCCTCTGAGCTTACGCTTAGTTTTAGGCACAGTCAGGAGCAGCTGATCATCTGACCTGAGAGCGTGGACAGGTTTATAAGAGTGTAGAAGCTCAGAGAGGTATGGCGGGGCAAGACCATTTAGTGATTTAAAAGCAAATAACAGAATTTTAAAATGGATCCTAAACTGAATAGGCAGCCAGTGTAATGAGGCTAAAATAGGGGAAATGTGCTCATGTTTACGTGTGCCCGTTAAAAGACGTGCTGCTGCATTTTGTATCATCTGGAGACGGCTGATGGAGGACCCACTAACCCCCACATATAGTGAATTACAGTAGTCCAGCCGTGTAGTTATAAAGGCGTGGATTGCAGTTTCAAAATGTTGTCTTGACAGAATTAGCTTTATTTTGGCCAGCTGCCTCAAATGAAAGAAGCTAGATTTGACAACAGCTTTGATTTGACTGTCAAATTTAAGCTCAGGGTCCACTTTAACTCCTAGGTATGTAATGCTAGGTTTAATATAGGGTGCCAAGGAGCCACCGTGGCTAAAAACTGTCAACTTAATAAGAGAAATCTTTTGTTTTGCTATTGCTCATATTGGCTTCTTTCTTCTCAAAGAAGTGAAAATAAGGAGAAGGATCCCACCACAAAGAGTGATGACAACGAAGCTACCAGGATGTTCAATTCAATTTTATTTATATAGCGCCAAATCACAACAACAGTTATCTCACAGCGCTTTTCATAAAAGAGCAGGTCTAGACCGTACTCTGTGATGATATTTACAGAAGCCCAACAGTTCCCACCAAGAGCAAGCACTAGGCGACAGAGGCAAGGAAAAACTTCCTTTTAAGAGGCAGAAACCTCGAGCAGAACCATGGCTCAGGGTGGGCGGCCATCTGCCTCGACCGGTTGGGGTGAGAGAGAGAGGGAGAGAGAGAGGGATGTAAGGAGAGAGAGAGGGGAGGGAGGCAGCCTACACAATATACACACAGAGGTACAGACAGTAAAGGTGATGTTGCTATAGACTAAATGAAAAATGGTACAGATATTTATAGTAGTGTTAATGATAACAATAAGACTAGCAACAATAGTCGTTGCAGCAGAGGGTGTCGAGCAGGAACACGGGGGCAGCAGGTGACCCGCAGCCACAGATCCAGACTCCACAGCTCCAGAGCCAGAAAACCTGCAGGAAGTGATAGGAGGAGAGGAGAAAGCACAAGACTAACAGAAAGGGGAGAACAACAACTGAGAAGTTGTGTTAGTAACATGCAATAATGGGATGAGGTTGCATACAGAGGGAGAGAAAGTAGAGGAGAGAGGAGCTCAGTGCATCATGGGAAATCCCCCGGCAGTCTAGGCCTATAGCAGCATAACTAAGGGATGGTTCAGGATTCACCTGAGCCAGCCCTAACTATAAGCTTTATCAAAGAGGAAAGTCTTAAGCCTACTCTTAAATGTGGAGATGGTGTCTGCCTCCTGAACCCAAACTGGAACCTGGTTCCACAGGAGAGGAGCTTGATAGCTGAACGCTCTGGCTCCTAGTCTACTT